TCAAATCATAACGCGTAAAGATTTAATCCTTTGACAAGGAATCTTAAATATCATAATGTCCCTTCATTGTATGTAGCCGCACAGAAGAACTTGAAATTTTTAATAAGCTAAAGTATTGGCTGCATGCTTGATAGAGGTGCTTTAAGGGTAGGAAATTCATGGCCATCCTAGTGGGGATTGGCCTAACCAGCATCATGTTAATTAGCCTCCAAGATGGCTTCACATTGTCACCTACAAGTCTCGTGGAGTCTCACCTACAATTCTACAATTAGAGGAACCATAATTAACCATTTTCCTGTAGAAAGATGCTAATGTTTGACTAGAAATGAACATTTCCATTCTCAGTCTACATGCTGTCCAACTTGAACTATATCCAATAAACTACAAAGGATTAAAAAATTTGAATCACATTCATAACCATTGACATTTTACTTTTCTTAACACTTTTTTGGGTACATGCATGCATAATCCAATGACTTGGTTGATTATTGGAAAAAAATAAGTGCAGGAGTCTATAAATACCCCTGTAGTACTTCTGTCAAAGGGAAACTTACCAAAGAACTCTAGCTATATATTTATCTAAACCCTCTTCTAGAATTCAGACTCTCTCTCTCTCTCTCTCTCTCTCTCTGAAACCTCATCACCCAAAGATCAATATTCTACCTGAGACTATGTCAATATATCATCAAGTGCTAAATTATCCAAAATGTTTGATCATGTGTTGCAGAAACTGGATAGTGAAGATGCAAGAATCGCCAACTATTTCGATGTGATTGCAGGAACAAGCACTGGCGGTCCTGCTTACTCACTGCCCCAAAATCGTCCCCCAGAAACAGTAATGTTTACAAGTTAAAATTGTTAAATATTGATACAGAACATTGTTGTAAACATGGGTCTTGTTAGATTTCTGTATGTATTAGTGTTTGGAGAGGATTGTACTACTTTTTTTTTATTTGTCAGGAAAATATTGTACACTACTTAATTACCGATTTGCTTAGTTACAATCATGTATATCAATTGAATATTTATATTTAATTAACGATTAATATTAGAAGCTTTTTTTACACAGAACAGATCAATGCAAACTTTTAGATCGATGCTCATCTTTTATATAGGGGCTTAGTTGCATCATGGGAGATAGAAATTCAGTGCCACCTGTTTTTATACGAGGATAGAGAACCGAGTACCAAGTAATGCAATCTTCTGGATACATGCCATTCATTAGTTGTTCAACAATTATAATTAGCACACATGCCTAAAGTTTAGGTGGTATTTATACAAATTTTCCAATTAAAATTTTCACAAATGCTTGTTTCCTACGTTGGTCTAAAATAAAGAGGCCATCCCATGAGACAAAATCCTATTAAAAAGAAGGGCTTATTCAAAGATATTAAGGACTTCTACCTTACTCACTGCCCCAAAATCTTCCCCCAGAAACAGTAATGTTTACATGTTAAATGCCAAATTTTTGTTAAATATTGATACAGAACATATTTTTGTTAAAATAGATTCTAATATAAGCATTAATTTTTTAAACAACAGCTGTCCAATATTTCCTTATACTACAAAGATTATCAAAGCTCTAGCAGGACCAAAATACGATGGGAAGTATTTGCATGACTTGGTTGGGCAGAAACTTGGTGACAAAAAACTGCACCAGACAT